TTTTTATTTCATATCCCACTTTTTTTTGTTTAAGTCATGTTCTCATACACATTAGATAAGCCTGTCGGATCATTTCACGTCTATATAACTGTGTTTGATGGTTCTTTTTGTTGTTGATGCGTCTATTTTATTTATGTTTTCTAAAATCATTTTAAACTTCTATTTGATTTTTATCTCACTTATTATCTACGAGCATGTCTCCATACACATTATACGTAGATGATGACACTTGCTATGATTATACTGGGGATCATTTCACATCTATGTAAACTGTGTTTGGTGTCTTGTTCATTGCTAATAAATTATTTGTATATTATTTCTTTATTTCTTTTTGAATTTTTGATGAAATTTTATTTAATTTTATATTCAATTAATTCTTTGAGTTTGTCCGCGTACACTTTATACACAGATGATGAAGTTTACTGTGATTAAGCCTGGGTGATCATCTTGCGTATATGTATATTGTGTTTGATGGTTTGTTCTTACTAATAGTTTCTTATAGTGTCTTCTGAATATACTGTTTTAAAAAAAAATTCAGTTTTGGCGATAATTACTTGATTTTCAAATGTTTGATACACTTTATTTTGGGTGTTTAGAAGGTAGGTAGTTGAATATGGAAATCGTCAGGAATCTGATGTTTGAACTTTGTTTTTGGATTTGTTGAGCTCCTAAACTGAGTTATGAAAGATTGAAAGGTAGTGTGCAAGTATTGTACCTTACTACCCAAGTTAGGATTATCTATTAAGAACTAGTTGTATACAATTGATGTTGTTGTGGATGAGTTTGCACTCTTTTATTCGTTTGCATTGTCTGGATTCTTGTCATGGCTAGTTTTTATATGTTAGGTACTTTGGAATAGCAGAACATGTTGGTATTTCTGTGTATATGTTAGGCTATGTGCCTATGTCGCTTGTGTATGCTACGCTTAACATTTATTCTATTATGATAAACCAATATTTTCTCCTTTAAGTACTTGGCAACACAAGGGGCTGTGGTTCTGGGAGTTTTCACATATGGTGTTGTACACTATTGCTTGTCCCTGCAAGGTAAATATTTTTAAAGGGTCTGAATTTTAAATTATTTCCATGCTTTTGCTTATTTGGTTCACCGGTTGAATTGTCTGCATTCTTTGTTTTACGTCTATTGGAATGAGCCATAACATAGAAAATAACATGTCTCAGTACATGAAGACAATTGCAAAATATATTGATGTGTCAACAGATGGAGTTTGTGTTACAGGTTGAGAATAACGTTGCTTAACTATAAGTAGTCTACATATGTGGTTTGCAATCTTGCATCTCACCTAGCTGGTAACTTGACCTCTTAATACCATAAAAAGGGATGTTTGCGAGGTTAGTCGCAAACTCGCAATTACTCCTATTTGATCATTTCTACTAATTGACCCTTTGACAGGTATCAGTTTTTCTTAACTAAGCACACGTTTCCTACAGATTAAATTGTAGCTCAAGAAAACCTCTCTGAGCCATTGGTAAGAATGTTATACAAGTTTGGCGTCTATAAGAAAAAAATTCTAGAGACCGTGGTTT